CACTAAAGCATAAACTACACTACTCCAGCGCACTACTCCAGCGCCTACTCTAGCATCACCATGGATTTGACGTGCAGGCTATCTTCATCACAACGTACTTGAACCAGCTGAGAAACCTTCAACACACAAATATATTGATAGAAAAACCAGTGGAGGATTTGAGGAATGATATATAGAATTTTAATCCTTGAATTTCAAAATAATAATGATCCCAAAGTAGCAATTTATAGGAATAGATAGATAACTTCTTGGTCTGAAAAAGTGTAGCCTCCAACTCCTCAAATTAAGCTGCTCCTTTTAATTTAAAAGACTCCCTGAAAATAGGGTCTTGACTAAGAGATGTTTGATCGAGTTTCTTCCTTGCTGTCTCACCTCCTGGCGCTGATCCAGTGACTAAAAACTTAACTAATTTTGACAACTAATTTAAGCCAACATAGTAGGGTCCAATGTGTAATATTTTTACACTTACATTCTTTACTGGCAATTTATATCGTGCACCAGGGCGCATTGCATTGTGCGCCCTGGTGCAAAACGACATCGTTTCAGATTTTATTTTATTTTTTGAAATTTCGTTATCTTGTGTCGGCTATTATGTTTTTTTAAAAAAATTCATGTTAAAAAATGTACATACTTGTATACTAAAATGTACATAATTGTATAAAAGAATGTACAAAATTATATAAAAAAATACACATATTTTTTTTTGAAAAGATAATACACATAATCTAACATAATACATAATACACATAAACTCTTAACATAATAAACATAAAGTTCCTGTTTCGGATGTACATAATTGTATAAAAAAATGTACATAATTGTATAAAAATGTACATAATTGTATTAAAAAATATACATAATTATATACCATAATTGATATACATAATCGTGTCAACTCCCTACATAACTTACCAAAACGATGTCGTTTTGGGAGGCGCGGGGCGCACAATGCTATGTGCACTCTTTACTTCTTTATGAGTCTTTTGGGTATGTTGTGAAGAACAAAATTGGCTGAGTGTGTATAACAGTGTATTAAAGACTTTTTGTCTTCATAGATTATTAAAAATTTGTCGAATGGCATTCAATCAACACGTTAATTTATCTCTTAGTGGACATATTTAAATATTCAGTCATGTTTTAAGTAGTTCTCCTATAATTTTAATTAAATTATAATTTCAATTTTGGGAGAAATATTATGGAACTTGAATTTGTTGTGAAATTGTACGCATTCTCGCGTGAATTATGGTATCGTTTTGATCACAAGAAAGCAACAAAACAAATAAAGTACACCATGTATTTCAAATGATGTGTTATAAGGATTGACTCATTAAAACCCTTGCGCTAAGAAAATTCAGTGAAAAAACTTAACTAAGGAAAAAATAGTACAACCATAAACCAATCATAAACCTTCAGGGCATAAACTTTCTAATAACCAATTGTAAACCTTCAAGGTATAATCTTAAAGATTTTGCGATTTGTCTATTTAAATATTTATTTACACCATTCCCCTTTTGACATTATTATATCATATTCGCCTCGCTAAAAACCATACTAGAAAAACCAAATGGGAAAATCTTATTGAGAAAAAGAGTACATGCATGATGTATGTGTATTACTGCTTTAGATTAGCTGCCTCATTATTAAGGAAAAACTCAATGGGAAAAAACTTAACTAAGGAAAAGAGTACAGTTGTTAGTCTTCAAGACCCAATGTTCAGGATTGATTCAAGTAAAATGATACCCCTGAAGATAACAATCTTCAAATCTCACACAAAATCAATAGAAGGACGAATAATATGTGCAGAATTGAAAGGGATTTTGTGAACAAATCAGTTAGATTGTTACAAGGGCGAATATTCAATATCTTACTATATAAAAAAGCCACACCCCTCGGGAAAATAAATTTGGTAAATAGTTCCCGCCCAAATAAAATTGTAATAAATTGTGTAAAAACGATTCTGGCCTCTCATTTATAGCTATTTTTTGGGAATGGTCAGTTTAGTTGTTCAATGTAATCTTTATACGGAGTAATAATATAGAATACAAATGAACATGCGTCTAGCTTTTTGATCTTCAACCCTTTGTTATCTTATTGATTAGGATTTACTGTTGGTTTAGAATTGTGTCTCTTTGTTATCCAAAAAAAATAGCATTAAATCATATATCTCTTCAATGTCTCCAAAAAAAATAGCATTAAATCATATATCTCTTCAATGTCTCCAAACACAGCTATAAAAACCACTTCTCACTTTACAGTTTCAAATACAACACAACATTGTTTCCGTGGCACCTCTCTTCATTACGGTATAAATTTATTTTTTCTCTATTCTAATTCGCCTTAATGAATATGTATTATTTTATTGTCTGGATGCTTTTTGCATTCATAAATCTTCATATGCTATTGCAGGAATGCTTTTTTGCATGCTCATATTCGTAGGGAATGTGTTTCTAAATTCCAGTCTAAATTAAAGGAAGGCAATGTATATTGTATCAAAATTGTTGATACAATATGAATTTCAATTATTGTCTAGATTTAGTTTTTCCGGTGAACAAACCCCTCTTTGGAGTGTGAATACAATAACAAGATCATCTTATTGATCACGTTTGATGAATTCACCGGTGGATCAATGGTGATCAGTACCATATATTTTTGACATTTTTTATGATACATATACTTATGATTGGTATACATAGACTATTTTTAACAATGACCGACATTCAGAAATACTTGATTGTTTATTTGATACTTAGTAGATTTAACATATTTTTTTTCTTATTACCTTATGTATATGTATTATGTTATTGTCTATGTTGATTCAGGAACTAAGCTGTTTTCAGTTACAGGTGATACTACAAAGCAACAGTAGTCAACTACGCTTAGAGCTTCTTGGTTCCAAAGTTTATTGTGAAGTCTATTAATCAAGTTAGGTTATTGAGCATGCAAAAGATTTATGGTTTATGTAAAATTGTTAACTTTTTTTTTAGAAGTAATTTGTAAAATTTCTTTTTTTTTTTTCTTCACTTAAAGATACCATCCTATATTGTAAAATCTTTCTTACGTAGTCTTACAAATCATATATTGTAATTTGATGTAAACTTTTTTTAATAAATATTCAGTTCTTGCAAATAGTTCATTGAATAAACTGTGATTAAAACAAGTTGTGTCCTTATATAGATCACTATTTTGGACTGTGCAATGGTACAAGATTAATTGTTATCAGGTTGGTTGATCATGTTTTGGAAGCTCAGATTATGTGTGGAACGAATGCAAGAAAAAAGGTGTTAATTCTACGAATATCATTAACACCTTCTGATTCAAGATTGCCGTACAAGTTCCAAATGAAGCAATTTCATGTCGTGTTTTCGTATGCCATGATAAACAATAAAAGTTAAGGACAAACACTATCATATGTTGGATTGTTCTTGAGAAAGTTAATTTTTAATCATGGACAAATGTACGTAACAGTTTTAAGAGTAAGTAAAAATTTTGATATGTGGAGATAATGTACCATGTGAGTAAGTAAAAATTTTGATATGTGGAGATAATGTACCATGTGTAAGTACGACTACAAATGTCGTGTACAAAGAACTTTTTAGTAATCTGTAATACAATTATAAAATTTAATCATTATTTAGTAATTATCTAAAGCTATTCTTTTATTTTTATTTTTCTACGGTTAACCACCTTTTATCGATTATATTTGTCCGTGCATCGCACGGGTGCAATTACTAGTATATAATAGAGTAACTCTTTTGGAGCTTACGAGAGTTGAATCTTGACACTATTCATAATATTTTCATTTCTCATTGGTGCAACACAAGTTTTATTGTTCCAATATATGATATTGGGATAAATATCGCATAACCAGTTTGAGACTTAGTATTAATGGGACCAAATAAAAAATAGCCAGTACCCAAATGACCTATCAATATCATATATTAGCTATCTAAGTAGTCCATCAAAACCATATAGTGGTTTCTTGTATAATGTCAAAATCTTTGGTAACTTAATGATTCTTGATGATGTATTAAACAATATTTCAATATTTCATTGTAGGATAAGCGTTAAATGTTGCTAGCAATTTTATTGTAAATACAATATCAAGTTTGATGCGATTATAGAACTTCTGGTTCTAAAATAGTACTCCAACAAATATGAAATAATGGACTTCCGATTTAAAAATATCCTCATTATTCTCTTTAAGTCTAAATGGTTCATTATCTACTTCAAAAAAAAAAATAATAAAAAAATTGGATAACTGTTAGTGTGGTAAGTAAATAATAGTTTTCCATATAAAACATGTCAAAGTCATTTTTCAACATAGGCTAACTAGTGTATAAAATTCTTTGAAATACTTAAACATGTTTATTGGGTATAAAACATGGAGAATAAAATAAAGAGAGCATATCATAGGAGTGGGCGGGCTGAGTATAACATCTTGTGAAATCATCATCGAAAGAAAGCAATGAAACAAATAAAATAAAGAGAAAGACCAGAGAGAAGGAAGAACAAGTTGAACTCAGAAAACTTTAAAATTGAAGCATGTGCTTTATCTTAATTAAAAGCCTAGATTAATATATGAATTGCACATTTAAGTTTATATATTATATGCTCAACAAAACCATTTCATTAGATCACCGCTGTATATATACATATAGGAAAACTGTATCCAATCATGGAAGAGAAAAATCTATCATCTATCATTATAATAAAGCACTAAGTTTCTACCTAAAACATCTTCCCGCCTAAAGAATTCGGCGTCGTTTTAATGATAGATAACACAATCAGTCTAATTAATTGTGTTCACATTGCCTTACGCTTTTCAATGTGATACTGCCGGCTAAGATTGTCAATTACCAATGTAATTACACTTTTAATAATGAAAGACTTCTAATTACATTGAGAAACTAACCTATAATCTACATTTATATATATATATATATATATATATATATATATATATATATATATATATAGATATATAGATATACACATACATAAAATGCTTCGAAAAAACAATCTCTTTAATGTAGTCTTGGGTCTTCAAACGTTTCCAGCAAGATTCATAGTTCCAAGACAATATTCAAAATTGGAGAACAAATTTCAGCCTCTATATAAAGCTCCTTCATATCAATATTCACCCCCAAGTTCACCATCTCCCCGGTTTGAACCACCCGCAAATTAGAAACGAAGAACCAAAATCTGTGTGAAGATACCATGCCATCTATGCATATTGCTGTTGAAGAGGAACAACACAGTTGCTTGAAGATTAAGGTGAGGCTTAGAATTGAGAACACCTGCACATTTGTTAAATCTTTGTATACACACACTTAGCACAATGCTGTGAGTTTTAGAAGTGAAATAGTAACTGACAGTTACATGCTTATGGCTTAGGCATCAGACGGTAGTATTCATCATTTGCCTTTTTGTTTAGTTATTTTCATATACAAAGATTATTTCATCAGATGGAAACCAGTGAGGCAGTTGTAATTTTCAATGCAAATACACACAGCTAACCTATATTGTTGCTATGAAAATATATGACAGAAAGTGGTATGTATATATAAATATATAAGATTTTATTTACAAGCATGAATCACAAAAAGTTTTCAGTTGCAAGCAAGCAAGATGGATAATGCAGTACAAACAGTCCTAAAGAGGCATAAGGGATTTCACAATTTGGTAAGCATACTTGATTTTACCCTAACAAAAAAGTTTCTGTTTTGGCTAAATATTATACAATTTTTGCAGGTTGGTGATTTTTATGTTCCGGGGTTTAGGGTTCATGGTTTAGGTTGGTGATTTTTAATTCCATTGGAATAAGTTACTGAGTAACATTTACCTGGGTTGCTCTGGATACCATAGCGAACTCTCATTTTTTAACCCAATATCCTATTACTTCAAAGACACACATCCTGCATATAATAAAAGAACGTTATATAATTGAATAAAATGCATAGTTGAATGAAAGGCATAATTAATAATGTAAATTGCACATGTGCAAGGCAATATAGGTTTTTCGATTTTATATAGTAAATAGTAAATACAGAAACAGTACGTCGATTTTGATGAAAAGAAGAATGCTTTCCAGCCATCTATGTGATGTTTTGCTGTGGGTAGTCCTTACTAGACATTTCGTTCTAATCCTACTGGACATTGGTAACTTTATTCTGTTAAGTTCATGAACTTTTTTTGGGGTGCATGCATCATTGTTTGAAAAACATTCTTCTTTTCATCAAAATTGACAGATTAGAAGTTAAGTTGCAGTTTTTGAATATCATACTTTAGATAAGTCATTTTACCCCATGATTAATCAAACGACTCTTCATTAAGAAGCTGTGAGAAAAACATTTGTGTTAAGAGGTAAAACAGTCTAAAAGAACTAAAAATTTATAAACACTTATATTTAAGAGCTAAAACGGACTAAAAGAAGATAACAAACACGAAAAGCTTCTAACTGACAATTTTGGATGTTATAGAAAGCTTTTGAAACTCAAACTTACTATTTACAGGTTCAATCTTATATTAAAAACCAGGAATCTTATATTTATCTAATATTAAAATATAGAATGTTTAAAAAAAAAAAGTCTGATGGAGTATGATAACAAACATAGATGCCACACAAAAGCACTTCTATATACTGAACAGTTAATAAAAAACAAAACCCTTCAATCAAATTTTTAAGCCTAAAAAATATTACACTTAAAAAAAGGAAGATAAACTTTGTTGTAGGTTTCTGACATTCCAAAGGAATTGGAGTCATTAATTGGAATGCCAATGATATTTAAGATATCACTGAAAATGAGCCAAATGAAGGGAGCCAATCCAGCATATACTGTGACTAGGATTTTAAGGTATGAGACATTAATATCTACCCACTGTTCCAAAATTAAGGACAAACAAGAAAAAGATTTAATCTCGAAAATGATTGATGAGGATGAAGAGGAGGAAGAGGAATCTGATCAGGTAATTTTATTTACTTCACTATTTTTTAGTCTTTATGTGAGATTTTAAATTTTAATCATTTTTTTCTATTTATAGGAAGCTTCAAATGGGGAAAATGAAGTGAACAGCCCTAATAGTGTCCAGCAGTCCCAAATGGCAGAGAGTGAAACTGCAGAAGCTTCTGTTGTGAAGAGATCCCTGTTGGACCAGTTTTCTTCTTCCAACAAGCTTAAGAAGGCCAAGGCTGTGACTGCTCACTAAATGGTTCCTAAGTTCCTAATATTTGATATATTTCAGCAGACAATTGTCCACCTTTGTGTGGTTGTTTTAATTTTTGGATGTTTTTTTGGGGAACCATCAATCATTATAATAAAGCAGCGTCAAGAGTTAGTAATCCAAAGGGTTTAAAAATACTTATCTGTGATGAAAATGTAAAATCTAAAAATACGACTACAAATGTCGTATATAAAGAAGTTTTCAATAATGTCTAATAAATTGGAAATTTGTCTCTACCCTATTTGTTTTTTATATAATACTATATATTCTTTTCAATAATGTCTAATAAATTGGAAATTTGTCTCTACCCTATTTGTTTTTTATATAATACTATATATTCTATTATTTATATATATGGCCGTGCATCGCACGGGTGCAACTACTAGTCTATCAGTAATAGCACTATAATAGTGCTAAACTATTTGAATTGATTGTTACTCTTTATCTATTTTGAATTTGTCTAAGTATTCACTATTATATTTACTATTTGAATTGACTGTTATAGTATTTACTATATTTGTACTATTTTATTGCTCTCTAACTTTTTGCAGATTAAAAATGGAATCAGCCTGAAGCAAACATATTGACTCACAAATACAAGCAAGAAAGAATCTTCAAGGAATTACATCTTCACTAATACAAGCAAGATCAAAACCAGGATTACAAAAAATGTTCAAGGAATTCCATCTTCTAGGATTTGTATTCTAGATTAGACTATATTATGCTAAGTTCGTCTTAATACTGTAAAATATTTATAGTGTATATGAATAACACATTCTGAGATATTGCAGAAAAAAAAAATTGGCCAAGGAAACATGCATTTGAAAACACCAAACCCACAAAAAATAATTCATTTCACATCTTTTAATAACACACATTTAACTATGGCCCATAGAGTACTTAATAAATCAGCTAAAAAAAAGTTGTACTTTAGCAAAATATCAGCTAAAAAAAAGTTGTACTTTAGCAAAATATATTTAATCTCCACAGTCAAGCAAATCATTAAGATATAGCATTCAATTAGACTATATTAGTTCAGATATGGCATTTTCCAAGTAGAAAAAATTTTAAACTGAAAAAATAAAATTTGTGGAAGTCTTCATAACTAATAAACACACTATAGGACTAAAAAAATACTCAGAATCAAACTGTTTTAAAATTACAAGCAAAATCACTTTTTGAAGCTTGAAGCAACACATTCGAATTTCACATTACAATTATTAGACTCAGTTGTAAGGTGTTACTATAAAGTACCATTTGGATTCACTAAAAATAAATCATTTAGACTGTGAAATTTTTATTAAAATTAAGTCAAAGCATTTGAATCCACATCTTAATATGTAAGAAATCAGTGTAAACCCTATTAGCTTAAAGGGAAAAACACTAATAGTTATTATGCAAATAGGTATCAAACATATGTTGTACGCTAACTAATTTTAGGATGAACAATACAAAATTTCGTTTGCCTAATTAGACAATTGATTCAAAAATTTAGGGTTTAGTATACCTTTAAGTGTCTAGGAGAAGTGTATTTGCGTTGTATTCTGGGTACAGTTCGAAAAACTTCATCCCTGAAATTCAAAAACTAACCAATTAGTTTAGAAAATCAACTGCTAAAATCGGAAAAACAAAAATGAATCTGAAAAATAAAATACAAATTGCGATAAAGAATAGAAAACCAAAAACACGAATTGAGTGTTCAGTTACTTATCTGAAGTGAAAAAGAAGGTCTACTGTCTTCAATCTTGATCCACATAATCACTCAACGTTGGATTGTAGTAGATCGACGACCAAAAAACAACAGTTAACACATAAAACTAGCATCGGAAAAATAGAATCCCATAGATCTGAAAACCTAACTTAGGCTTTTCACTACTGCCACATAGCGTAGATCCACCGATTTAGAATACATGAACATCACATGCTTCTGTGATTAAGAAGGAAAAACACAAAGAAGAAGCTATACTCTTACATCGGACATACGATGTACGAGTATAACGTTATAGAATAGCAAGTGGAGTAGTTTAGCTAAGAACAAAATCAAGTTGGCAAGTCTCAGAAGGAAATGCGGTGAAGAAACATCTAGAGATACATCTTTGGGCCGGGTTTGGGCTGTTGTTGACATTGGGCTGGGCCTAAAAAACACATCATAGTTATTAAATTAGGTCTCATATATAATAAGTCGGTAAATTATATTATGCACCGCGCGTCTTCTTTTTTTTTTTTTAAATGAAAATAAACAGTGTTTGTATCCGCCGTTTCGCATCCTTTTGCAAAAAGTAACTCTGTTATTCAGTGTCATTTTGTATACACTGCAGTTTCAGTTCAACACAACTACAGTTTCATTTCGATATAACTATAGTTTCATTCGATATTTATAGACTCAAATATGTGAAAATGTTATTTAATTATATTTTATACACACTATAGTTTCATTAAAACACAACTACATGATCATTTTGATATAATTACAGCTTCATTGTACAATATACACTCAAATATGTGAAATGTTATTCAGTTTCATTTTATATACACTGCAGTTTCATTTCACTATAACTACAGTATCATTTTGATATAACTGCAGTGTCGGTTTAGATATACTATAGTGTCAGTTGGTGTTTAATACACCAAACAAGCAGATTCCGTTAACTCTAACGGCGGCGCCGTTTTTTACTGCGGTGCACATGCACCGCGGTCTATAATATAACGACTGATAATAAGTCTACAATCTATCAACTATCATTATAAAGTTTATTATAAGAATGTGTCCCCTGTTAAATTATTTACATTTTAATAATATTTTAATGATAGATTATTTTGTTGCTAAACCTACAAAATTTGGATAATGAAGGTATATTTGATAAAATTTATTTACACGTGTCTATTCAAAATTGTTCATATTTATATTCTTTTAAAAATCGTTGGTATAATGTAAGGTGCCATGTTCATTATTTAGATATTATAAAGTTGATTATTTTGGGATTTAAAAATTAGATTTGATTATGGTCCACGACATTTTGTGGACCACATTGCATGTAATTAGGATTGGAACCAATGTATAATCGCTTTCTATTATTTTATTTTGTTTCTTGTGTTTGCAGAAAATTGAGACAATTATCGAATTCAAAGCAAACACAATCCTGGGTGTCAAGAAAATGGTTCTAATTCATTGATGGAATACACACCAAAACCATACTCTCATTCCAATGAAACACCGAGAAGTTCGCTTACAACAGGTAAACTATTTATGATTTTGAAATAAAAATTTATTAAAATGTCGTTTCCTAAAATTAAATGTTTATAAAATTTTACCTGTTGTATTTTTTTTTTTTTTTTTTTTTTTTGCAGTCAATAAAGAAACGTTGAATATAAATATTAGTACACGTAGCAAGGAATATACGTCAACCCAGAACAAATCCAGACAGTTTGTGTTAGGAGAACGAACTACATATTTATCCAATGGAACAAGCGCTATATTTACCGGTTAGTTATTTGAAATTTTCAAATTACAAAATATTTGTCAGGGTCAAACACTCTCAAACGTCGGTTTGTTTTTGAAGAGGCCGGTTTTCAATCATGGTCAAATGTATGTAGCAGTGTCAAGAGTTAGTAATCCAAAGGGTTTAAAAATACTTATTTGTGATGAAAATGTAAAATCTAAAAATACGACTACAAATGTCGTATATAAAAAAGTTTTCAATAATGTCTAATAAATTGGAAATTTGTCTCTACCCTATTTGTTTTTTATATAATACTATATATTCTTTTCAATAATGTCTAATAAATTGGAAATTTGTCTCTACCTTATTTGTTTTTTATATAATACTATATATTCTATTATTTATATATATGGCCATGCATCGCACGGGTGCAACTACTAGTTAGGATAATGACCAAAACATTAGGGCCCTGTTTGGTAAAAAATTGATCGATATGTCAATTTTGACTTATTTGACCACTATTAATTGTTTGATTTAGTTAAAATATCAATACAATTGTTTGGTTAATTAGCTCTTTGCAACTCCAAAATGTTAAAATTCAAAAAGCTACTCCCAAGCAACTTTTTCAATTAGATTTTTCAGAAAAAAAATTATACCAAACAGCTATCAGCTAACAGCTAATTTACCAAACACTTTTCTACAATCAGCTAATGTTATCCACTAGTTATACCTTCTAATTAACACAATCAACTAACAATTAACAGCTATCAGCTAACAACCATTTACCAAATAGGGCCTAGATATATTTACAACAGAATTGAGATTTATTCTTCTACTCCTATATAAGTTGTAGATACGTGACTTTGCAATCTATACACATACAGAACATTCAATCCAGCAAATTGTTCATTATATCTAGATTGAACAAATAATAATAATAATAATAATAATACTAATAATAATAATATAATAATAATAATAATAAAATAATAACAATAATAATAATAATAATAATAATAATAATAATAATAATATTCTGTCAATCCAATTGGTAGTTGTTTGGTGGCGGCTTGGAGAGTCCAGTCAAACGTATTGCTAACAAGTATAAGAAAAATTAAGTTGTACATCCGCAACTAGCTATAACTTTTGATGCATGTAATGATAAAGGATGACAGTAGCTAGCTAAGCTGGAATTAGTGATTGTGGCACGTGTAGAATAAGATGTTGATTGTGCAAGCTCAACAATGCATATCTAAGATAGATCGAATGCATTTAACTGATACATAAAATCCAACCATGTATTTTTGCCTATTGAAGAATAGGGTTGGATTTGGACGGTTTGAAAGGGGCCAATTTCCGAGCCAATGATCTTTGCAATTTGCAATGACGTAGTTGGCGGGGAAACATGACAGAATTTTCCGATCCATAGTTGATGGAGAAAGCTCCTAGCATCATCAGGGCAAGCTTAGCACTGCAGCTAGCGTTCAGACAGCTTGAAGTGATATCGTGAAGCGAATTGACATAAACGTATCATATTGAGGATGTTGTCCACGATATCTTGAAGACAATTAATTGACATTGAAATCTCTGCCATCAATCATGGCTGTGACTTGTGAGTTGATGAGAAAACTGGACGTTCCAATAACAACACTCTCATCAATATAATATGTAAGCTTGCGAGCTTATATATTATTTGTGAAGAAGAGAGAGGCTTGTTTGTCATAATGACAATTATATTGTATGATTTTATGAGTCCATGGATTCACTACTGATGAGCTATAGCTTATATACTTGAAAAAGATAAGAATTAGCTATCTTCCTTCAATCTGAGCAAGACTCTTTTTGAATGTTTAGTGTTGAGATTAATAAGAACAAGAAAAATAATAATGGCAGTAAAGGATAAAGAAGACAAGATTTACGTGGTTCGGCAATGTGCCTACATCCACGGGAGTGAAAGTATTCTCTTATTATTTGTGATGGTGATACAAGGTGATGAGATACATTGATTATATTTATAGGCATATAATCTCCCTTTCACTCCTATTCCTTATATGAGACAAACTCATATTCCTAATCCTTATATGAGACAAACACAACAAATCTCCACCTTGGCGAATATGCTCTCTAGGAGAAAAGATAACTCAACAAATCTCCACCTTGACGAATAAGCCCTTCAGGAGAAAATACTTATCTAACCATCTCCACCTTTGCAAATAAGCCCTTTAGGAGAAAAAACTCATCTCATAGTCTCCCTGGATTAGGACCACCATGTTCATTTAACATCTGGAAACACCCAACAAGTCCAAACAATGTTTGAACTTGTCACTAGTAACTGCCTTTGTCAACATGTCTGCTGCATTCTCACTTGTATGAATTTTCTGCAACAAAATCTCTCCAGAAGCAACCAACTCTCTGACCTTATGAAACCTTACATCAATATGTTTGGTTCTGGTATGGTATACTTGATTTTTAGCTAAGAAAATGGCACTTTGATTGTCACAGTGTAATTGAACTCCATCTTGCTCAATACCCAACTCCTTAATCAAACCTGAAAGCCACAAAGCCTCTTTAGCTGCCTCAGTCACAGCCATGTATTCTGCTTCAGTTGTAGACAAAGCTACAATAGACTGAACTGATGATCTCCAGCAAATAGGACCACCCCCAAGAGTAAAAACATACCCTGTTGTAGAACGTCTATTATCCATGTCACCAGCATAATCAGAATCCACATATCCCATGAGTACATGCTCATTCTGTTGACTTCCAAATACAATACCATGCTCCATAGTGCCCCTTAAGTACCGGAGAATCCATTTAACTGCTTCCCAATGCTGTTTCCCAGGTTTAGACATGTACTTACTAACTTGGCTAACAGCATGAGCTAAATCAGGTCGAGTACAAACCATTGCATACATTAAACAGCCAACTGCACTAGCATAAGGAACCTTTGCCATATTTTCAATCTCACTAACTGTTTGGGGACACTGACTGGATGAGAGTTTAAAATGATTAGCCAAAGGGGTACTAACCGGTTTAGACTTACTCATCCCAAACCTGTCAAGAATTTTCTCTATATAACTCTGTTGAGTTAGCCACAACTTTCTTGCACCTCTATCCCTGTGAATTTCCATGCCAAGAATTTTCTGTGCAACTCCTAAGTCTTTCATATCAAATTCCTGACCCAACAACACTTTCAATGCAGTAATATCATTCATACTCTTAGCAGCAATCAACATATCATCCACATACAGTAACAGAAAAATAAAAGAACCATCACCAAGGCTTTTAACATAGACACAACAATCATACTCACAACGTGTATAACAATTTGAATCATGTAAGCATCGAACCGCTTGTACCACTGCCGTGGAGCCCGTTTCAGCCCATACAAAGACCTCTTGAGTCGACAAACCAGATGCTCACCTCCGGGTTTAACAAACCCTTCAGGTTGCTTCATGTAAATTTGCTCATCTAGATCACCATGTAGAAAAGCAGTTTTCACATCCATTTGTTCCAAATGCAAATCCCAAATGGCTACCAAAGCAAGTACTAATCTGATAGAAGTATGTCTAACAACAGGAGAGAAAACCTCAT